GGGTCCCATCACTTCCAGTTTAGAATCAGTGCCCGCCCTCGGGGGTCCCATCACTTCCAGTTTAGAACCAATGCCTGCCCTCAGGGTCCCATCACTTCCAGTTTAGAATCAGTGCCCGCCCTCGGGGGTCCCATCACTTCCTGTATAGAACCAGTGCCTGCCCTCAGAGGTCTAATCACTTCCAGTTTAGAATCAGTGCCCACCCTTGGGGGTCCCATCCTTCCAGTTTAGAATCCGTGCCCACCCTCGGGGTGTCCATTTCACTTCTCATTTATGATTAGCAGTTTCATGATGGAACTTCACAGCCACTGTCACTATCACTAAAAGCGATTTACACTAATCCACGGATGCAAGAGCAGCAGCCTGTGTAACAGACGTCACCCACAATTTGGATGACAACATCTTGGTTCAAATTAGGACCCTATAAACTAGATGTTCAGCAAATGCCACAGCCTTTCCCAGCTTTGATGAACTCATAGGAAATACGGTGGTGGTATCGATGTGAGAAGTCTGAGGACACTCCTCTTGGCGAATGCATAACCCCAGGTACACCCGCCCTGCACAGCAAAGCTGGAGAAATGGCACCACAACAGACCCAGCATCACTCCCAGGGGCACGTGCGTTAGGAAAAGGCTTCTGCGGTGCAGCTTCCTTCTGTGGGGCACTCCCAAAGACTATTGTGGAATGGCTTGCTCACTCAGTCTTCACTTGATAAACAATAGTGTAATGGGGTTGAAATCTCATTAAAAACCAACCACCCACCCACCCACCCAACCAATTAACCAACCAACCAACCAACCCACCCACCTACCCCAACCAAACCACTCAACCGATTAACCAACCAACCACCCCAACCAAACCACCCAACCAATTAACTAATCAACCAATGGTTTTCAAATCGAATAATGGCACTCCCTTGGGACCAGGCAGGGTTTCCTTCCAGGGCCACCCCTCTGCACAGGTACTGGTTTCTCACCAAGACCCAACTGGGCTTGAGTCCAGTTTGCCTGACACCCTTCACCATGTGCCATCTAATATAACACACCATCAGTGATGTGCAGCACCAGTCAATCATAAGACATTGAGGTTTTAAGTTTTACCCGATTTCATAGAGGTTAAAATATGAAAAAATCTAGGCAGCAGAACTGATTAAATATGCTCATTTCATACTGGATGGTGGTGGTGGAGGGGTACCAACAATGGAGCAAAGAATTTAACAATTAAAAAGTAATGATGCTCATGGATGGACAGGGGAAGAGTTCTGAACCACCAGCAACTGCGTATGTCAACCCCAAAGAAATTCCACGAGAGCTGTCACTAACGTATCTTGGTGGTCCACAGTTTATCTTTAAATTTGCAACCTATGCTATTTCACCCGTGAAGTGTTCTGAACTTCAGCCTGCCAGAACCTTCAGACAGACGGGTGGTTGGTATGTCCACCAAGATTTCTGTTGTAGAATTAAATGTGAGTTTCCCCTTAGTATTGCTGTATTTTCTAAGGACCACGTGTGACTTTTTGCCTTTGTGAAAATAGTAGAAATCTCTTGCTTTAAACACATACACACGAGTACAAATAATGTTCATGAATCAAGAAGGTAGACCTCACAGTATTCCACGTCACAGTATTCTCTAAACAGCAGACATAAACGATATTCTAATTTCTGAAAAGCATTGGATAGGAAAAGGCAACGTATACCCGTAGTGCTGTGATTCTAAACGGATCTCGAAGTCTTCCATCTTCATCTTTCAGGTTATAACCTTCTGCTCTTTTATCCCGTTCACTTATTTTCCATAATTTTATAGTTTTATCTGAAAATAAAAACCTCATTCTCCATATGAAAAGAAAAACTGCAACATGCATCATTACTGTTTGTGTATTACATTAGAAAGCGGTGTGGCCCTATGTTGGTTTATAAAGCTATGGGGTCTCTGAACATGAGTATCCCCACCGGAGACGTCCTGTTTGCTGAAGCTGTGGAGACATGCAGACAAGATGCGCACGTGTCGTTTCAATTCCAACCTATCGCTTGCTACCCTAGATAATGATTTACCCTCCCCCAGATTTGAAGCAAGAATAACTTCTAAAATAAAAAGGAATCTACACACAGAAAAAAAGTAAAAATAAAACACTAAATCAAACAGCCACTTAGAAAACAATTCTTACCATTTGTAGAGAGTAGAAAATGAGCAGCATTCTGTTGTGGTAACCACCTGATTTTATTAATTTTTTCCTCAATTTCTAGACTTTTCAAATAGTCAAACTCTGGTTCGTGACTTTGAAAGGTACTGTAAACATTATATTCTCCCCTAGAATGAGGGCGGCTTTTGTTCTGCAAGGAGACATGAGAACTGTTTTAATGAATAAAGTACAGTGCAGAGAAAATTTTAACACTATAAACTTGAATATCAAAAGACCACACGTTTTTTAAAGCGAAAAATCCTGGCTTAAAAAAAAAATCTCAAACAGATAAAACTCAGCATCACTTTATTGGAAAAAACCAAAACAGAAAGGACATTCCCAGCTCCTCTATTCCACCTGTGGGTCCGCGTGTACGGCAGGTTTCAGTGGAACACAACCAGGCTCCTGTGCGCACACACTGTCTCTGGCAGCTGCTGCACCATCTGGGTAGAGGTGAGTGGCTGTGAAAAGGCCTCCATGAGCTGTGGAAAAATGTTCGCAACCTGGCCCTGGGGGGAAGCGTCTGCTGAGTGTGCCGTAGAGGAGCGCCGGCACAGGCCTGAGGAACGTGACACAGCGATGTGGCGGTCCCATCACGGTGGGAGTGAGCCAGACGCCGCACAGCCGTGCAGGGCCACCACACAGCCGCGGAGGTGACGAGCCAGCACGGACGATGGCACAGCTGCGTAGTGCAGCAGGCGGCACAGGCGCCCACAGTGAGCGCTGCTTACATACGTTTTTCACACACAAAGAACAACTCTGTTACAGAAGCGGAGGAACATGCTTGGGAAGATATACACCATCTTCAAATGAACGAGCAGCTCTGGGAAGCTGGAGGGAGAGTGAGAAAGACGGAGGAAAGTGGCAGAACGAGATGGGGAAGGGGACAGAAGCTTCGTCTGGATCCCAGCGATCTCTTTCCTCTGATGAGGGCATAACCTCCGGGTGGTGGGCTTGCAGGTACATCTCTATTAACCTCTGAAAATCTGTATGCCCAAAGGAAATTTTCTATTAAGTATTCCGTAATTCAAAAATCAAGAATGCCAGTATTTTCATTCTGGCTCTATAGCCAGTATCTAGTATCTTAGATGTTTAACACTTCAGTACATATGCTAAAGAAGCTGAGCTAAACGAACTTTTAGGTCTAGACAGATGTTCCTTTACATTAGGAGAAGTCATCCCAAGAGGCTTCCCCCAGCTCTCCACTGCACTGAGTCTGATGTGCGGTGCATTCCTTCAGCTGAAGCCTCCATGGGCAGGAGCTGAGCTGCTCAGGGCTGCACGTCCTGCGTGGGCCGCACAGGGCGGATGTTTAAACTGCTCTCCTTTGACCCACTCCTAGCCCTCTTTACAGAAGCACAGCACTTCAACAGACAGTTCTATTGCGAGGGAGAAAAATGGACCAAATTATTTCAGAAGAAAAGCCTGTATAATCAAGTTAGTCCTAGTCCTAAGACATTCATCTACCAAGAAAAAACTGCGAAATATAAGCAGAAAGGCACAATGTCCAAGTCAGAGTGCTGCCTGTGCTGCCCCGGCCTTCCTCCCAAGCGCCAGCACGAGGACGCTCCTTGGGCTGCAGGCTCATCTCTGCCACCAACTGGTCCCAACTCCCTCCCTGGACAACCAAAACCCAAGTGACCCCTCAGCCTTCTCCAATACTCTGCACTCTCATGATGTTCTGCTCGGTCTAGGGAGAGGAATTCTTGAGGAAGCCTTGCTGGGACAGAGGCAGGAGAGAGCAGGAGAGTAACAAATAGGAAAAGGAGGACGAAGAAAGCACATTCTCTTTTTGGACATGCTGATTTCTGGTTTAACCTGATTCCCGGGGCCAGAGCTGAGCCTGGAGGGCAGGGGGCTGCAGAGCCACAGCCTTACATAAATTCTGTGTGCCTCAGTTTTACCGGCTGGGCTTCCCTGTAAGACATCATGTGCACAGAAAAATAAGAAAAGCTTGAAGCTCAAGGTGCTGACGGTGCTTCCTGCGCCGCCTTTGGCACAGCCAGAACCTCCCGCCAGGCGCCACGGACCCGATTCCTCACCTAAGGCCTGCACCTTCCAGAGTCTGGCAGGGCACTCACTATCCCTCAGAATCCTCCACGCCCCATCCACTCGAAGATGCCCATGCTGACACCTCTGAACCTTGCTGCAGCTTCTAACTGGGAGCGGAGTCGCTTAAGGGGCGGCAGCCACCTCCTCCTAGCTCCTGCAACTCCATCAGTGGCCTCTCTGACCAAGGACGAAAATGCGCACTGACACCCTCACCTGCACAAGAAGCACTCAGGTCCACAGCGAGAGTCACACGTGGCAACCGGCGAAACAGTCTAAAGTAGATGGAATATGAAAGCCTCTCATGTTAACCAAAATATGAAGAGAAAGAAAAAACCCTGCCTGGGGTTTATCAAGCTACAGCTGACTGAGTTATTCAATGACGTTGGTAGGGACCTGCTCCTGGAAAAATCTGTCACTCACATAGCAACTTAACACATCTTAAATCGACACTTAAAACCCCAGACTACCCAATGTATCTTAGAACAAGATGCTTGACTTTTATCACGGTCTGTTTTATATTTGAGAATTATTTAGGTTAAGCAACGATTCACAAAAACAAGAGAATTTACATTTTCTCTCTTAAGATCTGTCAGGCAGGGATGAGGCACCTCCCATAAGGCCATCGCTACAAAGGCAGACTTTTTGAAGACGCTAAAAGTGAAGTATTTCATTAAGACAGCCACCACTCAGCAATCTGTTAAAAAATCCTCCTGCAAGAAGCAATATTTAAACACCACCACCCATTTTTACTTCCATTGAAAAAGGTAAAGTATTTGGTTCTTTTTTTTTTTTTTTTGAGACTGAGTCTTGCTCTTGTTGCCTGGGCCAGAGTGCAGTGGCGTGATCTCAGCTTACCCCAACCTCTGCCTCCCAGGTTCAAGCAATTCTCCTGCCTCAGTCTCCTGAGTAGCTGGAATTACAGGCATGCACCACCACACCTGGCTAATTTTGTATTTTTAGTAGAGATGGAGTTTCTTCATGATGGTCAGGCTGGTCTCGAACTCCTGACCTCAGGTGATCCGCCCACTTTAGCGGATTCAAAGTGCTGGGATTATAGGCATGAACCACCGTGCCCGGCCAAGGTACATGGTTCTTAAGTAGCACTGTGCGATATTCTACTTCTGAGATAAGAATGCAAAATTATAAATATATCAAACTGTGAAGATTTAGAAAGATTAATGATAGAAACTTATTATTCACAAAAGGATTTCTTACCATCTCAAATCAGAGAAAACAGGATTAAAAAAAATCTTTAATGACATGGACATAATCAAAATTAAAGCTGCAACAGTTATGTTTTGCTACTGAAATCGGTTAGTACCTGTCCATGTTCCCCATGTGGCAGCCAGAACCTCCCAGTTCTGGCCAGTCCTCCAGGCTCCCCCTCCGGGGGGCGGGGCCAGTGCTTCCTGTGTACAGAAGCTCTGCAGAGAGGGGAGCGAGGGCCCACCAACCTCTAAACCACACCTCACCACACTAATGCAGAGACTTTGGAGGTGAGAAACTGTCCCTTTCATCTGCCAGGAAACTCAAGAGACAGAAAGGGCAAGGGACAGTATTTACACTCTGTTAAGGAAAAGGCAGGACAAGTATTTCAGACTCCAGGCTTGGCTGCACCGAGGTTTCTGAGGTTCCTGCCGGAATCCTTCCCTAACAAATAATGATCTCATTTCCTCAATCATCGATCATCGCTCACTAGGACCTCTGAGGCTCACCAAGAAGAAGAGGGAGGGGCTGGCAAGGCATCAACGAGAAGGAAGTGCTACGACCTAGAAGCCAGTGCTCAGGAGCTGTGGGGCTCCTCCAAGGCCCACTCTGAAGGTTCCCTTCCCTCTGGACAGGCAGCCTTCAAGGGGGCGTGCAAGAGTGAATGCTGCTCACCTCTCCCTGAAGGGAAGAGAGAATTTACACACCCCCACTCACACTTCTCTGCAGGAGGCGCTGAGAGAGCTGCTCGCAGCCAGCGTCCCACAGAACACTCTTCTACCTCACTGCAGGGCAGGGCGGCGGGGCCGGGCCAGCAGCTGCACTGGCGTAGGAAAGGGTTTTCTGAGAGCCCCCTGAGTTATCGTGGAATGAAAACACATAAATACACATCACCACCACCCTGCAGCCTGCATGTGGTCCCCTCTGGAGTCTCCTCCCTACTCTGAAGACAAAGGCCTTGGAGACTTCATCGGGGCTCAGCAGCTGAGGCCAGAACTTAGATATTTTCTGAAAGGAGATTCTGTATGGCTAATGTGATGGAACTGAAGCTTAATGAAATGAGACAATGGGAAAATAATTTTGCTTCCTCCCTTCTAAGTTATGTGAAAAAGGCTGAATGATTACGTTTGGTTTGTGGACTGAAAATTACTGACCTCTTGTTCACGCTGAAAAATAACAACTCTGCCGCCCTTGTCTCCTGTTGCAAGAAGATCTCCAGAGTAATTAAACTCAACGGTGGAAATGATGTCCGCTGTCAACAAAATACAGAAGTGATTTACTAGATGAGGTTTTGGGGGGCAGTCACAATACCAAAAAAGCAATCAAAAGGCTCAAAAGAAAGATAAAACATACACAACTTTCTCCCAGAATAAAGCGAAACTGTCATGGCAAACTTGTAATTACCAAGCGGCCACTTCTTGGTCCTGGTGCAGAGAACCTGCCAGCACATGTGAATGTGTGAGTCTGACTCCACCTCCATGCGTGGTCCCTGCTGCACCAGGATTTATCTAGGCTGGACTGTCTTGATGAAAGGACAAAGGGTAGAAATTTAGAAAATTCACTGCTACAAGAAATAAAGAGGGAAAACATGGGTCCTGAAGAATGCTGCCTGATTTTATAATGCATACCTAATGTTACCTTTTAAAATAACCCCGATTCTTTTATAATAGGAATAAAAATGTTTTAATGTTCTATGCAGTAACTTGTGTTGGCTTCTGTACATTACAGTCTCATAGACAGTAGAAGCTCCATGTCATCGTCTGGATACAGTTACTACCATTGATAATGATGACATCATTACCAAGTGAGACACTGTCGGGGCCCTTGAGATCTTTGACACTGCAACAAAGACCCAGACTTCAGCTAGACAGGGGCCCAGACCAGGGGGCAGACGAACAACAAAACTCAGCAGTGCAAAAGTGCTCAGGCACCCCGGGGCTAACCCGTTGGGCTGGGAGGGGAGTATCTGGATTTATGACAGACTATTAAATTAAAAAAAAACCAGGTCTATGATTTGGACAAAAATTTTTGGTATTTTCAGGAAGCAGTCTGGAGGAAGCCGGCTTCTCTGAAGCGCCCCTGTGTCCTGTGCCGACTGACAGCACAAGGCCTGGTGAGGCCTCCCGAGGGGCGGGGTCGGTCAGGGCTCGTCCTATAGCCATGGCGGGACTCACCTTACCCTGCAGTGTGGGGGTGTCTCAGGAACACTGAGATCACTACAGGCTCACTCCCCTGCTGGGCACCAACTCACGGCTCGCAGTGACTCTCTGCACCCCTAGGGCCCACAGTATCTTTAGAGCAGGAAGTAAAAAACTACTAAATGGCGATTGTAAACAACCCACCTACTAATCAGAAATGGACCCTAAAGCTGCAACTACTTGAGGAAGTCCCCCCAAAAGCGGAGATGCTAGAATGCAATTCGCAAAGGTCTGCACAGGCGTTTTAATCATGTTTGTAAAGGCTTTCCACCAGCATCTGCACAACTGCGGCACTGACTTCACACGGGAATCCCTGGCCTGGGATTTCTTTCTTTTTAAAAATCTTCAGACTTTGGGAGAAGGATGAGGCTGCTTCTTAGAAGTGTCACTATTAAATTACTGAAAATAACCTACCTTGCTTACATGAAACTGAAATATTCTGAATTGGATTTAAAAGGTCTAAACCTATGTCATTTATACCCAGAGGGTGTATAAAATTACAAAATTAATGGCATGCTAGCTCTGTCAGTGATTTTCAAACTTAATTAAAATGGACTGAATCTTTTAAAAGAGAAACTCCCGTAACTGTCAGGGCTGAGAAGTTTCATTAAGCTAGGCAAACATGCGTGAACCTGAAATGAGAAACACTGCAGCGCTCAGACAAGCTCTGAACCCAAACTAAATACACAAAATCACAAAACCAACAGAGTTTAAATTATCAACATCAAATTCATCTGATGGAGATAGTTTTTAAAAAAACAAACTGATGCTAAAAGCATAAATATGGTACTAAGGGCACCAAGTTATGTATTTGTTTTTTTTTGTTTTGTTTTGTTTTTTTTCTGAGACAGAATCTCGCTCCGTTGCCCAGTCTGGAGTGCAGTGGTACCACCCTGGTTCACTGCAACCTCCATCTCCTGGGTGCACGTGCTTCTCATGTCTCAGCCTCCAGAGCTGCTGGGATTATAGGTGTGCGCCACCACACCCAGCTAATTTTTGTATTTTTAGTAGAGACGGGGTTTTTCCATGTTGACCAGACTTGTCTAGACTTCCTGGCCTCAAGCGATCAGCCCGCCTCAGCCTCCTAGAGTGAGTTAGGCATTTAAAAGCTACTGTCACTTCCCCATGCCTGCCTTCTGCCTCCATTTCCCTGCTAGGGTAGTGGGAGCTTCTGCCCATGCCACAGCCTGGCACCTCCTGGCATCCCATGGAGGCATCGGGTCTCTTCTCAGCCAGACAGGCTCCACTGCGATGTCACTCCACCTGCCGTGGCACTGCTGCCAGCTGGCTGGCTGGCTGTGCAATCCTCACTCAACATCTGGGTCATCATCAAATCCGCAAGGTGTCGGCAGCAGCCTGTGTCCTCTCAGACCTCCTGCCAACGCTTGAGTATGTTCATCTCCTTTCTCTCCTGCCCACACCCAGGTGTCAGAAGAAAGCAGAAAAGACACCTGTGTGAGCAGCTTTAACAAACATGGGGGCAGCAAAGGGCTGGCACAGAGATGCAGAAAGTCTTTACAGAGCTGCTTGGTCCCCAGGTCACCCCCCATCCACCCTGCCGGGTGGGAGCACACAGCTACTCTGGTTTCTTTTTCCTTAGACACTGGCTGCCAGGGGTACCCTCTGAAATGCTCATGCCCAGGGGAAAGGGCCTCAATATTCAAACATTTGGGTTCTAGAAAAACATGGCCAGCCACAGTGAGGCTGCAAGCTGAAAGGCCACAGCTAAAAACAGCAGCTTTGCTCCACTAAGAAACCAACAGCTTACGACCCGCAGAGCCTCAGGAAGTCACCAAAACAAAGACGGGTAGGGTGGGGGAGGGGAGGGGGAGGGCTCACACTTGTAACCTCAGTACTTTGGGAGGCTGAGATGGGCGGATCACCTGAGGTCAGGAGTTTGAGACCAGCCTGGCCAACATGGCAAAACCCCATCTCTACTAAAAGTACAAAAATTAGCCGGGCGTGGTGGCATGCGTCTGTAATCCCAGCTACTCGGGAGGCTGAGGCAGGAGAATCGCCTGAACCTGGGAGGCAGAGGTTGCAGTGAGCTGAAACCACACCACTGTACTCCAGTCTGGGTGACAGAGCGAGACTCCATCTCAGTTAAAAAATACAAAAACAAAAAACAAAACAAAGATGGAATCTGAACAAAGAGAGATGGGAAAGCTCAATTTATGTTCTAGGGAGCTGCTACACAACCAGCCGCTACACTCCCAGTGTTTGGTTGAGTGTCCACCAGGAGCCTGGTGCTATTCTAACCATGCACAATCCCTGTACTGACCCCCAGTCAGGCCTCCTCAGATCTCTGGGAAGCAGGGCTACCATCACCCCAGCCTGACGGAGAGGAGAGGCATGCTGGACGCTGGACCATGCGTGCCCACGTGGCAAGCCCCTGTTGGTGAGTGGGGCAGGACGCAGGCTCTTCCCCACTCACCAGCAGGGCTGCCTCCTGGGCTGGTCTCAGACAGGTCACCTAGCAGGGCCCCCAGGAGAGGAAGATATGCTCCAGAAGGAACCAGGAGGAGAAGGTGCCACGTGAAATCCAAAGGACAACAGTCATAATGAAAACCCTCAGATCTCTTCCAAAGGGTAGAGCAGAAAGAAAAGAGATGGACAAGAGGAAGGAAAAGACAATCAGGGGATCAGTTCGAGGCCCCCCCACCCTCCCTGAACAGTTCTAGAAACACAACAGAGAAAGCGAGGGAGAAGCCTCCAAGGCCACGCCCTCAGGCTCAGAGGCCCTGCGTGGCTGCCAGTACACCCAGGCCGTGCACGTCTCAACACCAGGGATAAAAAGAAGATTCTAAAAACTCCCAGAGCAAATAAACAGGGGACACACAGAAAGGAAGGGATTCAGACGGCATCGCACAGGCAGCAGGAAACATGGTCGTTCAAACACCAAACATCTCCCATCAAAATTCTGGGAGAAAACAATTTTCAGCCTGAAATGCTAGACCTAGTCAAGTTTTCAATCAAATTTGAGGGAGTAAAAATGTTTTCAACACGCAAAGAGCCAAAACAAGCAGACGCTTTCTCAGGAGAGTGCTGGGAGACACAACTTGGCAAAATGAGAGAAAAAGCCAAGAGAAAGAAGATCAGGGATCTGACTTCCAAAAAATGGTGAGGAGAATCTCAGGACATAGGCCAGGCGGTCAGGAGGCCTCAGAGTGGCCGTGGGGACCGGGGGGTCGGGGGAACACTGGTCAGGACAAGAAGAGCTGAGAGCTGATGTGTTGGTATTTGACAGACGTGTTGAAGTGTTTGCTTAAAAAAAAAAAAAAAGCTCTAAAGACACATAACTAAGTGTATGGGAAAATCAGGCAATCATTAGCTCTAGGAAAGTGAAAACCTGTGTGAAAAAGAAAAGGCATAGATCAGTAATACACAATACTCACTTGTCAACAAAATACTATGTAACAAAAACTTGCAGTTGATTTCTTTCAACCTCTTTTTTGCCGGTGTGGGGGTACATGTGGGCTGAATGTGATGTCAGGAAAATGGGACTCATCAGTTACCACACAGGAGGTGGGCACTTATGGTTTGAAATCACGGAATGAAAAGTGAGCAGTCTAAGCAGGTGAGTTAGAAGTGGGATGGCCTCACGTGGCAGAAGAGGAGGGGCAGCTGACGAGGACAGTGGTGTTCTGTGAGGAAGCAGGACTAAGGAGCTGCGGATGGGGAGAGAAAACAGAGTGGGTGGCATTTGTGAAACATGGCCTAGAAGTCACGTCCACGTACCCCAGGGAGAGACAGCTGGAGCAGGAGACGGTGGGAAGGGCGGCACGGAGCAGGGCCGGGAGCTGCTCTAAGAACCGAGGGCAGGTGCGGAGGGCAGAGGACGGCCCCTCAGGCGGCACTGTTTCCACGAGGCATGAGGGAACGTCATCTGCTAGGAATTAAAGAGAGGGTAGGCCGGGCGCGGTGGCTCAAGCCTGTAATCCCAGCACTTTGGGAGGCCGAGGCGGGTGGATCACGAGGTCAAGAGATCGAGACCATCCTGGTCAACATGGTGAAACCCTGTCTCTACTAAAACTACAAAAAATTAGCTGGGCAT